CGGGCTCAAATTCGATCCAATTATTAAAAAATATTCTCAATCCGTTATGATTATAAAAAATAGACATCTTTGGTCTCAATCCGATTATAAAAAGTTAAAAACTAAACTTTAAAATATAAGGATTAAATTGAAATAATATGGAACAAAGTGAAATTTGAATTATATTATATGAGTAAAAAGTATAATTTATCATTATTGTTAAAACAGGTCTTGTATATACACATATCATTTTTTTTTATAGAGAAGATGGAAAATAATAACAATAATAAAATCAATCCTCAATACAAAAATAGCATTGAATGTGGGTATCCATGTACAAGTAAAAACAAATGATAAAATTTAGCAAAATGTTATATAATTCTACCTTTTAGATTTATTTTTTAGATCTAATGTTATGTAAGTGAGATGATTAGTTAATAATTAAAAAATAATGAGAGAAATAATTATCTTAAATATTTTAATAAATTACCATATTATTAAATTTAAAAAATAAATTTAATTTTTAGAATAACACGGCACTACTCTAAAGTTCATCCTGACTAAACAAGGTAGGGTGAGTCGGTTATAAACTGGACAAGTAGAAGAAGGTAGAGTTTATTTATTTATTTTTTTTTTTTATTAAAGATTGAATGTTAACATGTTAGTAAAATTAAATTACAACTAACTTCAAACCTTCTATTCATTATATTCTTTTTTGATAATTTATGTGTCCGAATCAATTTATACATACCTCAACTAATTTCAAAGGATCAATTTGCAAGTACCTTTAATAAACTGTGCTATTAAAAGAGCTCTGATTTGAATATATGTCAATCCAATGATTTTCCGTTCTTCTCATCTCTCACGCACTTCTGTTTCCATTTTCTTTTTGAAGGGGGTGGGACCACAAAAAAACAGGACAAGGCAGAGAGTGGCTCAGCCTTTCAGCAAACCCAAAAGGACCCACCACCCCATCAGTCTGCGCCTCCTTGCACCGGCAACGCGTGCCTTCTATGTCCTCTCTCTCACTCTCTCTTTCTTTGTTTGTTTCATATGTGCATTTTATACATTATATATATATTCATGTAACTGTATCTATGTACATATATCTTGAGAGAGATGGAGAGAGAGAGAGAGAGAGTGATCCGCGTTTGCTCAAGATGAATGCATGTGACTGTCCTTGTTGATAACTACAAGCAGACATGGATTTCAAATTCCTTTTTACTTGCACTTTTTATTTATTTTTTTAACTAATAATATGCTAGTTTGATTACATTTCACAATTCAAAAAGAGTTAAAGTACAAAATTTTTATTTAAGTTTGTCAGCAGAATTTTTTTTTGAGAAAATATCAATTAAGGCTTCGTTTAGGAAGAAGGGTTGAGGCTATTTTAATAACAAAATAAGTTTTTTTGTCTAATAAAATAAAACATCACATCTAATTCATAATCATTACATTCTTTCTCTCGTCAAAAAAGTCAAAAAACTTTTTCTAAACGAAATTTTTTAATTTTAAGTTAAAATAGTCAAAAATCCAAAAATTAAAAAGCCAACTCACTTCCCAAACGAACCCTAAAATATAAATTATAAAAATATTTTTAAATCAATGATGAACTTTATGTATATTAACATATAAAGACATAAGTTTCTTTCATTAATTAGAAGTTAATTTTAGAAAGTACAAGCACAGTGTAATAGCCTTTTTTTAAGTGAGGTTGGCCCACTCAAATTATGTTTCAATAATGCTTTTTGTTACTCAATTTTAGTAGTATGTAAGAGCATCTCCAATGCACTAGGCATATAATACTTGTTAGTTAAAATGCCTAGTGTGATTCACTTTTTTCAATTCCAATGCACTAGGCATATGATTAGGCATTTTGCCTCAACTCATATTCACTAGCTACATGTAGCTAGCCTTCAACGCTAGGCAAAATGTATTCATTCAGAGCATCTCCAACGGTAATAGGCATTTTACCTATCTAAACATTACTATAAAGTATACATTTTATTTTGCCTATCAACTGTATCATATTTTTGCTCCAACCATGCTCTTTATTTTAACTATTCACCCAAATACTATTAATTTTATAAAATGCCACATCAGCAACAAAGATGGAGGGAAATAATCCTAATGATTAAATACATTTTGCCTAGCTTTGAAGACTAGCTACATGTAGCTAGTGAATGTGAGTTGAGCTAAAATGCCTAATTAAATGCCTAGTGCATTGGAGTTGAAAAAAGTGAGTCATACTAGGCATTTTACCTAACAACCATTATATGCCTAGTGCATTGGAGATGCTCTCATTAGGATCATTTCCCTCCATCTTTGTTGTTGACGTGTCATTCTATAAAATTAATAGTATTTGGATAAATAGCTAAAATAAAGAGTATGGTTGGAGTAAAAACATAAAACAGTTGATAGGCAAAATAAATATATACTTTATAGTAATATTCAGATAGGTAAAATGCCTACTACCGTTGGAGATGCTCTAATCTCCATCTTTGAATTATGATAAGTTATATATGAGCATATATATATATATATATATATGACATTAGCGGTTGACACCAGTAATTTGTGTGTTAAATTAAATAAATAAAAATAAAATAAAATATTTAATATATATGGATTGTAACTTTACTTGGTAAAAATTTTCCTTATTAATTTTGTAGTTTTAAGTTTAAGTTTAAGTTCAAGTTTTGTTATCTAATAAATAACTGAACACTTTAGTATAAAGAAAAATAAAATTTCAAGACAATAATCTATTCACATATATAATAGTATAGATAAATAGGTACTATGTGAATATAATTAAAAAATAAATAAAACACAATGGTGAACGTGTTCAATTTAAAGACATTTTTATTAGTTGTATGTGAGGAAGTCCGTCTTTGAAAAGATTTTTTCATAGAAAATATATAATTTTATAATCAGAATTAAATGGCAATGGTGTTTATATAATTAATAGTCAACTTAACAAGTCCTATGTTTTAAACTGATAGGCCCACCACCACCATCATTTTGTATAAATTTTTTAAAATTTTATTTATTTATTTATGGAAAAATGTTGAGATTTTTTTTTTTTATCCCCATCACCCCCAATGTATTAGGATTGACTAACTTTTTACTTTTTGTTTTTTATTTTGTTTTTCTCCTATTACTCATTGACATGTGTCTGTGAAGATTGTGAGGATCAAAAAAAACATGGAATCTCTATCATTTATGTTTATTTATATAGCATAAATCTTTGAATATTCATGGTCTTGGATCATTCCTCTTCCTATCTGTCCGTGATTCTGTATTCTGTATGTACAGCTACGACATAACACGGACAAACCAAAACTCGCTCCCAAACAAATGGAGATCTCTATCCATATGCCCCTCTTACACTTACACGTAACTCTAGCATATATTCGGTGTGACACCATCTACCAACCACATCTATCTAATCACACGTTTCTAGCCTGCTTCCTCTGATCTATACCGTTCATTTATCTACTTTGATCAATTAATGGTCTCGTGGTCAAGCAATGGCTATGACGTGTACATCAAATCCGTGTCGATCATCAAATCCAACCAATCTAGATTCATGTACAAATGCAATGTATTTGTACGCGAAACTCATGATCCATACATGTTTGGTACCATTATTGAGATTATTTGAGAGAGAATAATATTAGGGATTATAAATAAAAAAAAATTATAAAATGTTTTATGAAGATTTTTATCTTTTGATTACTATATGGTATTTTATTGTAGGTGTAGTTTAAGAGTGTATAATTTTTTATGATTATTTTTATAATATATTTTTTTTCATAATTTCTAATATTACTCTTTTAAAAATTTGAGTTAAAGTATTTAGCATAATATCTATTTACAATTTGTGAGGTAAAATTAAGTTAAATAAATTTAAAATATAATTATAAAAAAGTTAGAGAAAAATAATTTTATATAATACCATATATATATACATTATATTAAAATTAGTGTTTTTTTTCATGTTTATGTGGCACATTATAAGGACTTACTTTTTTTTAAGAGAGTCACGTCAGCATATATTTTCTTAATTATTCTACACAAACCCAAATTTAATTTAAATTATACTAACTTTATCTATTTTATATGGATTCTATTTGACAAATATTTCTTTTCCATATAGGTTTTTCTTCTTAATTCTTTCAAGGGTATTAGGATTTTTTTAATGCTAAATTGCCTTTTTTTCTTCTTATTTTCTTGTGCATTATTCTATTCTCAATATCAATTCTATATTATTCTATATTATAGATTTGTCATTTAAATTTTATACCAATTTTATATATGAAATTATACATCATTTCTTATATTATTTTATATAATCATAACTCACAAGAGAAAAAACTTGCACAACAATGATACTCTTAAGGAATTTCTAAAGTTTAGATTTACTGCTTGAGTTACTTTTTCAATTGTTGAACAGTAAGTCATTTATGTTTTGGTATCATATTACAGATGATTAATCACTTCACACATAGAGATGTATTTATCGTTTGAATATTTTCGTTGTTATTATTATTATTATTATTATTATTATTTTGGTTTAGATGTTGTTATATAATTCTTTCTTGGTTAATTGTTGTTGAATTTCTTTTATATAGTTAATATTTTAATTTAATAAGAGTATTTATTTTATATTTTTATAATTTAATATATATATATATATATCATATAAAATCATTATATGATAATCCAATTACAACATATTTATATTTAATTTTTTAAATAAATTTTATATAATTTCTATTTCTACAGATATTTTTATTTTCCAAATGAATATAAAAGAAAATTAAATAGTTAGAATTATATTTAATTTTATATTACTAATTCTTTTTATAATTTAACTATTATTTTTAATATCAAAATGAATATTTACTTAACTATTTTATAATTTAATATATCATACAAAATTATTATATGATAATTATATAGAATTGTTGGGTGCATGTGATTCACTTTGGCAGGCCAAGCTGTTATTTTGATGATTTTTGGACTCTGAAGTAGTGCAAGGCCTTGTGATCCACAATATTTATAAACTCTCTCTCTCTCTCTCTCTCTCTCTCATACACATATTTATATATAGTATATGAATATGAGACTATGAATAACAAGTATTATATGGAATAGAATATATCTGTGCACTGCTGGACCTGTCTGAGGCACCTCTTCCACAAAACTTGAAAAATATTGGGCTAGGCACTGGGATTTGTTTGCCATGCCTCAAACCCCAAATGCAACATCTCTTTGGTTTCTGTGTGAAAGAAAAAGAATCTCGAATTCTTCTTCTGTTGTATTTTATTCTCTCTATTTCAGCAGCAGCAGCAGTATATAGTACTGATGCGAATGTGAGGAGGAAACTTTCAAAGTTGGGTTATAAGCAAATAGCTGTGGTGATTTTCCCGGAAAAAAAGTTTTTTTCTCTTCATCATTTTCTTCAGGAAACTTCAAGTTGTGATCTCTCCTCAATTCATGAGAATCGTACAGGTCAGAACTATCTTTATTTCTTTTGCGTATATCATCATGTGGATGATGGTGAAGAATTTGAAAACTCAAAAGGGATTTTCTTTCTTATTAGTCATAGGAGACTTCCTTAATCTTCCCTACTTTTCTGATGATAATTCAAATTACAGTTATAAAATCTGTTGCTTTTGTAAAAATTTTAACCTGAGAAGATGATTCAAGAGTTTGTTATAATGATTTGGTGTAATCGTTCTCGCTTTCAATTCTTTCATGAATCTTGAAGGCTAATTTTTTTTTTTTTTGTGGTTTTGGTTTTGGTTGAGGCCTGAAAAATTATTTTTTTTCTTTATCTGAATTGTCGATCTTAAGAAAATGAATTGAATGATATGGTCCATTTAAAAATAGAGCCTAGTAGTTTCATAGGTGTAATGAGAAACTTATCAGTTACTCTTTGAGTAAGTTTGACATTGTAAGTATGTGTATACTGGAGGAGACTACATGTATAGGACAAAGTTTCAGACATCCATGTGATATACAAAAGTATAGATATGTATATATGTTGATGACAGATATGATTAATTTTGAGTTTGATAGAGCTCTAGTACACAATTTCTACTCATAAAATGGTATGTGACAAAATAGTTCTATTACTAGTATAGAAACTGATCATAAAATCAAACACATAACACACATATAAGATTTTTTTTTAAGTAGACTCATTGATAAATTTTGTAAAATCTTATTATTTTGCTTTTGATTATGTGACCAATTTATGTGTTTACGGACTTATTCGTGAAAAAAAACGAAAAAGAAAATATGTGTTCAACAACAACCGCCAAGAAAAAGAAGAGACCCATTTACTGTAAAATGCATAATTAATTTCCAAAAAATAACATATAAGATAAGGTAAATAATACAAATAGTTTATGGAGTTTACACGATGTGTTAATTGGATTCATGTTGTTTCAATTTGCTTAATTTTGTCCCTTAATTTAACGGATTGTGTCATTTTAGTCCAATAAATAATCCAATAAATAACGATTGTTAAGTTTGATAGATGGAAAGTCGAATTATGTATCAATTTGGTCTCTGTAGTTTACACAATATGTCAATTTGATCCCTGTCAAAATTGAGCAAATTAAAACAACAGGGATTAAATTGATAAATTGTGTAAACTATAGGGATCAAATTGACACATTTTGTAGGTTTTCTGTCCACCAAACTTAACAACCGTTATTTATTGGACTAAAATGATACAATCTATTAAATTAAGGGACAAAATCAAAAAAATTAAAATAACAAAAATCAAATTAACCCATTATCAATTACAGACGCCATTTACATATTTTATCCTATAAGATAATGGGTAAGCGTTAAACATATTGAAACTTGGATGGAAGGATTAAACATCACTAGAAATTATCAGACTATAGTCACTAGAAATTCTATTGGTTGAAATGGAAAGGACAGCATTGGTAAAAAAAAATATCCAAGTCACATATGTTAAGCTATTATTGTGGTGATGAAAGTGATATCCTGCCGTATTAGGAGATATTTTATGAGTATCAATTCTTGTGGCCCAAAACTAAGGACAAAAATGTGTGAAAAACAAATAAGCAAACCAACAAATTATAATAAAAGTAGTTGATGTTATCACTCACCTGTTTTTTTTTTTCCTTCTCTCTTCTTTTCTTTTCTATAGGGTATCGTTCGTTCATCTGTAACGGTGTCATTAATGAGATTCCTGGTTTTGATCTTTGCCATGTTTCTATACATTAACTCACAGGCTTAGAAACAAGGAAGGGACTATATCTTGAGAGTGGAATCTGAAAGAATTCAACTTTCATCATCTAGGGTTTCTAATTCAGATTAAAGTACTTGTAGAAGGGTCGATAAAGTGAGACTAATTACTAAGCTCCAATGGAGAGGCTGCTTAAGCCATATGACAAGGAACACATGAAGATGGCCATGTTGAAGCATGAAGAAACCTTCAAACAACAGGTACTTATCTTCCCATATTTTCCATATTACATTTTGCTCTTCCAGATCCAGCTTTAGCCACTGGGTTATATTCATTTTTACATGCCCCATCCAGCTTCAGCGAGAGTTTCGTGCACCATCCAGTTTTAGCAAGAGTTTCGTGCACTGAGTCTTTTTTTTTTTTTCCATGCACCCTCCTCGGTAATGATTCTAAGGCTGAAAATCATATTGCAGGTGTATGAACTTCATCGTCTATATCGGATCCAGAAGATACTGATGATGAAAACCAGCACTGACCAAAATAGCAAGCCAAAGGGACAAAATCAAGAAAGATGGGATTCTAGGAGTGGAATCAGTTTGAATCAGATGATGAATAATAATATCCATCAAAAGCCTCCACCAGAGCTTGACTTGGAACAACCCGCCGAAGAGTATGTTATGGAATGTGATGGGGATGGAGAGCTAGAGATTGAAGACGAGAACGAAATCCGACTCACTTTAGGCCCCACCAGTTACTACAGAAGAAGAAAGAAAGCGGAGACGCCACCCAGTTCAGATTCTGGACCAAGCTTTTCTTCCTCTTCAGGCACAGATATAAGTAGAGAAGAAACAAGAGGTCAAAAATGGGGGCTAACCATGGTGCCTGACTCAAATTATGGATTCCAAAGTGCAAGAAAAAACAGTTTTGATGTGGAAGAGGAACAGTTGAGCTTGAGCCAAGATAGGCTACAACAGGCTCCTTGGCTTTTCCAATCTTTGAGACTGAACATGACTTGACAAAAATCTTTGGAGTCAGTCAGTCAGTGTGATAATGATTTTATTAGAATGCATTTTATCAACTAATTCTATGATAGATGGATGATCATCATCATCATAATGTTTGTGTTGAATACTTGTCCTTTTTGTTTCTACCATAATGGGTGATGGAGTGTGAAGATGATTTATTTCTCATTTTTTGTTTTTTTTTCTTACACAGTGATCAATCAAATCAGACACAATCTTCGTATATTAATGCGGGATTAATCCCATGTGATTATATCTAATTTTGTAATTAAATTTTGTGTTTTAAAATTTTTTATTTTTATTTTTTGGCTTTTAGTACCCATAAGAATATGAAAAGTGACTAAGCTAGGACTATTCCATTTTCACTTCCCAGTAGTCAGGCTTATCTGCACATCACTTCATGTACCAGTTGCCAAAACCAACAAAATTCTTAAATAGTTGCACAATTGTCAGCATCCCTCCCAACTTAGCCAAAAATATCTGGACATACGGAGTTATTATTATGCCATAATGATGTAATAATATTAAAATGATCATATATTTATGTATCATTTATTTTATTAGTTTAATGATTTTACTTGTTATATATATATTTTTATTAATACAATAATATATAACACATCAGGGAATAGATAAAATATAATATATAAATATAATCGTCATAACATTATTATTATAATCTCTTAGGGTAATCTTATAATCTCTAATGCTGTTTTTGGTTAACAGATTTGAGGAGGAATTGAAAAGAGAAATAGAAAAGATAAGTGAAATGAAAATAAAATATGTCTAAATTTCACATAGTTTCATATATTTTTTTTCTTTTTCCTTTCCAAATCCCTCCTCAAATCCTCCAACCAAACACAACATAACTGTTGCCAGTAATTCTTCTACTTTTATAAAAATTAATTATAGAATTGAAACACAGCCTTCTCACATTGGAGAATTGTGTTCAGTCGTATAATCAGTTCCTAAACTTTTTCTTGAATGCATACTTAATAGTTTTCAAATCTTTGCAGTAAAGAAACTAAATCTAAAGTCAATGAAGGCTGTTTTCATCTACTTTGATCCTCGCGCACAGAGATCACAAATCTTTATCTTCACTGAATAATTTTTCAACACAGTGAAAATATGTCAAAACAAATGGTAAAAACACAAATTTGGAGACTCCAACGATACAATCCACCAAAAATCTAGCTAAGATCACAAAAAGCTTGTCTGTCAAAGTTACGTACGTTTCTACTCTTGTACTCAATTTGCACTTTGTTTAATCTTCACGAATAAATTGTTTTAGAAACTCCTTTGCCACGTGTTCTCCATAATTTTATTTGTCCCATATCTTGAAAACAAAGTGATCCCAAGCTATTTTACATCAAGTTAGGTTAGACGAATCTCAACATACATTTGTTTATAATATTGATGACTCATCACTTGTATTTTATTTCATGTTCATCGTTTTCAACCCACCACTTGAGAGAGTTTGAGACTTTAAATTTTTGTTTTTCCTCCCCACCAAACAGTACATAGGAGAGATTACAATTCTTGTCTGCCACCAAATGAACACTAGATTCCCATTTCAAAAAAACAAACAATGCTCTCATCAATGAAGTCTGTTATGGAAATCATTTTCATTTCCACATCCTTGGAATTGAAATTCCCACCCCATCCATTCAAAAGCATCCTCTTTTGGGTCATATGATGATTGAACCTCAGACCATTTTAACATGCTTCTCTGAGTCTGTCCCTTGGGTTGTGTTTGTTGTTACTTTTCTTTACTAATAAAGCTTTCTATCCAAAAGAGAATTCAATAATTCTGGCTCAGAGACCCCACCACAGTGCTGCAATCAGCTACTGCAATTCTTGTTTCCAAAAAGCTACCTTTTAGCTTGAGAAAACTACTATTGATTTACTGTGAAATGTTCTGTCAAATTTGATAAAATGTTTCTAAAAACTGTTTTTAAACACTTTTTTTAAAAAAAAAAAAAAAAAAAACAACTATTGATTTACTGTGAAATGTTCTGCCAAATATGATAAAATGTTTCTAAAAACTGTTTTTAAACACTTTTTTCATTAAAAAAAAAAAAAAGAAACTGCTGAAGTTTGGCTCTAATTTTGTTGAGATTTATCCTACAACAAAAACTTTTAAAGAGCAACTTTAGACTCTAATTTTGTTAATTTGGTCCTCACATTAGAACTTATGAATTTAAATTGTTCCGTACTAATATATTTAGGCCTTGTTTGGAAATATGCTATTTTAGGAACTTTTGACTAAAATATGAGGTAAAAAAAAGTAGTATGTTTAGTATGACTTTTTGATTTTTTACGAAAAGAATTTTTAACTTTTTTATATAAATTATAGATTTTTTGTTTTTTTTAATAATTTTTTAACTTTTAAGTTAAAACAAGTACTTGCCAAACGAGACCTTAGTCCTTTCGATTTTGTTGAGATTCATCCTACATTCTGAAAATACTTTGACTTAGAGACGATTTCAACTCATGTTCTATAATTTAGTGATCACATGGAAATTTTTTAAAAATTAGATACTGAAATAAAACAAAGCACAATTTTTTTTGAATTATTAGTGTAATTAGTCCTTTAAGTTTTTTGACCCTTCAAAGATTCTTTTCGCATCAAATATAAGTCATTTAAATTTTTTTCTTCTTCTTATTTTTTTGAAAACACACACACATACACGCACCAAAAAAAAAAAAAAAAGCATACCAAACATGAAATATATATATATATATATATATGTAAGTAACTACAATGGGAAGAGTGACAGTCCTGACATAGAAGGCTTATTTTTATAATCACCACATTTGAATTTTCGTACTAATAAATGAGAAAATTATGATGATATAATATTTACAGTAACATCACACAAAAAGAAAAATTAGATACAGAAGACAAAACATGGAGACTCCTCTCAAGCCTTGCCATGATAATTCAACAAAGACAAGGTAAAATACATTGTCGGCGGATGCATTCCTATTTTAATTTGATTTTTAATATTTTAATTATATTAATTTCATCGTTAATTTATTCAACTTGTATTTAAATAATCCCAAAATCATTCCTGTCCAAATTTTCAATACTATTGGGATCATTTAAACACAAATTAAATAAATTAGAGATAAAATTAACACAATTAAAATAAGAAGAACCAAAATGACACGAATTACATATTTGACATACTCATCAAGAGTGCTAATGGAGCTCAGAGAGAGATCGGCGTCTTCAAGATACGGAATGGCGCCGATCTCTGCTGGGTTTATTGTGACCTTTCGGAGTTCCGTCTCCGCGCACAAAAGGATACAATTTTCCAAGTCTTTTGGACACAGAGCTGATGAATGATTTCCGAGGCAGAGGAGGCTTATCAGAAGATGACAGAGGTCTTCTCACAGGACTATTTAAACCCGAGGATGATTGGTCTGCTGGTTTTTCAATCTCTTTCAATTTCATCTTCATTTTGAGTAACTCAAATTTGAGGTCCTGATTTTCTCTCTTCAAGCTGGAGAGCTCGTCGGAGACCGGGTGGATATTGGTGGTGCACAGGTTCATTTTGGGGGGCAGAGCAGGGGATTCAGAGCCTGTGAGGCTTCCGTCCATGACCTCGCGGAGGCGTTGTTGCTCGTAGTAGAGAACTTGGACTACTGTTTGGACCGGGAGGCGATCGTTGTGAGCAGCGTGAGCACAGGCCTCTCGGGAGAGCCTCTGGCAGTCCAACACACTGCATACTTTCTTCCTTTCCAAGTCACTCAAAGCAGGATGGGCCTGTGATTGAATTGAATAGATCAATTTTGTGAAACACATTTATGTAAAGATTAATATGTTGGCATTTTGATAGAAATGGATTGTGTTCATTAGAAAAATTTAAACTATGATTAAATTGTTGAATTGGGTCAAAAACTTAATTTTCATTAAAGCTTAGGTTCTTGATTGATAAGGTGAAAAAGAAAGTAGTCACTATTAGGTCTATATATCATATTAATGTGCATGGTGATAGATAACAAGGTAAGAAGAAGTTAACCAACACCTCTTGAAACTAAATTTTAGTACCTTCAAGTAAATATCTATGGCCCTATACATCCCATCCTCTGTCACCCTTGATTGTTCTGGTATGAGTTCAGCAAGACTGATGAACCTGGACACCGACAAGTTCTGATCCGATGCTATTTCAGCAATGTAGCTTTCCATGAGCCTCCCAACCCTGTCCATGTCACTCGGTGGAGGAGAGACAAAATCATCATCACCACCACCGTAGCCCAAACGATTACCCTCCGATTCATATTCCAAATAATTCATCATGATCCTCTGCACCGCATCCACATCGAGCAATGTATCTCCTGTAAAGGAAAAGGAAGGGATCAAAAGATCATCCAGAACAGCCTGTCCGAGTTGCAGCCCCATTCTCTTTTCCAAGTCAAGCCTGCAGGCAACCGTTGTCTCCAGATATATTGCTGCCCGAAGCAGCATTGAGAGGAAGCTGACTGACATGGTGTTCTTCTCCCTTGGCAGAAGACTAACTACTGTTTCCAAAACTACCCTCTTCTCGTGTTCTTGTCTCGGCTCAATCTTCTTCCTCCCATTCCCATATATTTCCTGCAATGCATAAACCACAACTCATATCAGCTCTGAAATTTTGTGCTTTTTTTGTTTTGTTTTTGTTTGTTTTTTTTGTAAAAAAATGTTCATATTCTTGATTGTTCTAGGAAAATATTGATACAATTAGAAGTTGGAACTACAAAAACTAAATTGATACAAGAGACAAATTATGAGATCACGGTTATAATTTGACCTATATATATATATATTTAAATACACAAACAAATAATCGAAATTATTAAGTTAAATTGGGATGATGACTAGAGATCTCACCAAACCTCGAAGAGATTTTTGTGCATAGAGCATAAGAATTGGTCCCAATGCAAACTGTTTAAACCCTCTAGCCAACATTGCAATCAGAACCCTTTGGAATACATCAATTCTGAGAGCAGTTAAATCCTCAGCCCACCAATCCGCAACAGGTTTCAATTGAGACCCTGAAGAAGAAGAATTAACACCCTCAAAGCCACTGTCTGTCCTGCTTGACATATAAAACTGGTTATCTTTGCAAGCAATATATGCAATTGTGTCTATGCACCTGCTCACCAATTTCACTGTCTCTGCAATGGGAAGAAGATTGTCTGACATATGCAAAATTGAAACTGCCCCTGCGAGGGTTTTGAGTGCCTCTTCGTTCAAGTAGGCCTCAGTTCTTCCCACCAGGTTTCCAGCTGCATAATCTTCTGACATCTCTAAATATTCAGCCACGCATCGGAGCATGGCAATGTTTTCTGTGCCTATTTCAAAATTAATTCCGTAACAGAATTTTGCAGCGAGCTCGAATGCTTCTGCCCCTCCAGGGATGTCAGGGAGTTCAATCTCAGAGAGATCAGCATCGCTTGATTCTGACACCAATTTCCTTATGTATCCACATTTCGAGACTAATGGAAACTGCATGAAAAGGATGAAGTTTTAACAATTTAATCATAGATTTTTTTTGTTTTTGTTCTTGTTTTTATGTAGTTAGTTTGATTAGTCTGAGGGTTTGAATTTGACAAACAACAAAGGATATGGTATTATTCAGCTCCAAAAGTGGTTTTTACTGAAAAAAAATAGGGACTATAAAGGATTCTTTAATGTTGTGTTTGGATTATAGGGAAAAGAAAAGAAAAGGGATAGAGTACTCGATTTTATTATCTTTTGGATCCCTGTACAAATCCAAAATCCAAACAAATGATACATCAATTCTTGAATTGACAAGAACAGAGTTTAGATTTTACCTTGTGCAATGTAAAGGAAGCTCCACCAGCATGAACAGTGACATCACTAGGAAACTCTTGGGAGAAAATCCTGTTGGAAATTTAAATCCACTTTTAAAAGTCTTTTCCTTGCAAAGTTCGAGTTTTTTCCTTTCTAAGTTCTCTCCAAGATCAGCCAATTCATTTTGAAAAACAAAAAAACAAGATTTCTAAACCCTTCAAGACAAGAGTTGATAAAGCAAATGAAGCAAACACAAGGGTACGTAGGAAACAAACCATTCACTAGTCCTCTCCATGGCAGTGGAAAGAAATTCTTTCTTCTTGGTAGACATGTGAGTAGTGGTGGGTGGTGCAGTACTGTACTTCTGATCAAGATCCACCATGGCAGTTATTGAAGTGTGTTTGGGATGCTCATGTCCCCATTATGTACTTAATATGGAGGCAATAGTAGGAAGATTTGCACTTGCAATTCCTCTTAAAATTCTCCGCAATGCAACAACAGTTAAATTATCGATTATCAACTCATCTGAAAACTTAAATTGTTAAATGGTATACCCATGAACATAATATCTATTCTCTGTTTTCAGATGGATTGAATCAGTGGCAAGGAGAGCACTTGTTCAAGCTTTGATTCCAGTAATGATGTTATTATTGGAGAAAAATAATTTCAAACTGTCATTGCTACGTAGGTTAATTACCCATAATGGGTCTCTTATTTTGGCGAAAGAAGGGATTCTATTTAGGGGTAGGATAGTCTTTTGAATAATGAAGTTGGAAAAGCTAATGGCATTTTGGGTATTAGAAGACACAAACATGGGTAAATAGAACTAAAAGAAGATGTAGTTTTGTAGTGTGTGGTGGGAGGAGTTCGGTTGAAGGGATGAGATGGTGGCGCCTAACGGTATAACTTTCCACGTCGGAAATACTGAATTTCTCCATCCATTCACTAGAGTACCATTTTTATTTCTTTTGTGTTCTCTATGTTATTGTTTGATACGGAAAATGTTACACATGATCTATCTTTTTATAATTGGAGATAAGATCAATCTATTTCTCTATCCATTCATTAGATAGTCATTTTTTTTTTTGATACGGAAAATGTCATACATGATCTATCTTTTTATAACTAGAGATAACATCAATTGATTTTTCCATCCATTCACTAGTGTCATTTTTATTCCTTTTCTATTCTCTATTATTACCGTTTGATACGGAAAATGTTATACATGACCCATCTTTTTACAACTAGAGATAAGATCAATCGATTTTCAAAAATAAAGTGAGCTAGCACAAAATAATTTTAATCCACAAATATATTATTATGGGTATGTAGCACAATATAACCATTTTCTCTGTAATCCACTGCATGGTGTACGGTTGCATCTTGGCCATTCATGTCAGTATCCGAATTCACCAAATGATGTTGGAAAAGTACAGATAAAGCTTGACTGATGCCTGGAGAGATCTAACCAGTTTCCACTATTAAAATACACATGTACTCTCCTATTTATTAAATGGACAAAAAATTTCGCATTACATAATATTTTAAAATTGTTGAATAATTATAAATAAATAAAAAAATTGTAGGATTTTGTGAATGGCAGAATTAGGGCAGTGACCCTCCAAAGCACCGAATAATTTATTGAGATATGTCATTAGGCAGAATCTATCATATTATATTTGGACCCATGTGTGTGATATGGTAATACAGATCTATGGTTTGGTTGGGTCCAGAATTAAAATTAAAATAAGGTATCAGACAAAGTCCTAGAAGTACCCACCATGGAAAAAGTACCCACCCTGTTGCTCCTGCTGCAGTGAAGAAGGTAGTAGGTGGTGGAAATGGGATCTTTGGCTTGATCAGTTATTGAAATGTAGTATGGTAGTAGTAGTGGGACAAGCTTTGGTCTCAATTACGTCACACACACATATATATATATATATATATATCAATCAAACACCAAACAAGGAAAAAGAAAAAGGTTATTTACTGTCATGAAAACTCACATTTGACATATCGATCAATCCCTCCCCCACCACACCCCTTCTCTCTGTCTTTCTTTCACACAAACACTTGGATCATAATTGGTTAAGGCTGTTTACAACCCTCCATAAATTAAAAGCAATGCATTTAATAAAAATTTTGTTAGTAATTTAAATAATACTACTCAAAAACAGTTATTAACAACATGTGACATGCAGCACAAGATCCAATACCAAAACAACAATGATAGAGATCATTAAAAAAATTTCATCACTAATAACTCTAATGAGTTAGAAAATATAAAAAATAAAAGAAAAAAGAAAAACACAAGAGACAACCATCACATTAAAGGGAGATCCACCTCATTAATACTCCCCTAGTGCTCCTTTTTTAGTGCTCCCAAGCATTAATCAAACCAAAAGGCAACAAGTTTAAGTCCCATTTAGAATAGTGGCCTAGATTGTTACCCAAACCTCCAACATTGGATTTGAAAATTAGAAAACCTCATCATCATTGGGACAGCATGTGACTCCATAATTGACTAATATATATATTTATAGTTTTTCTTCTAATGAGATTGAAGTAAGGTTGTTCGCAAAACCGTGTGGAGTGAGCTTTGCAATTTGTTTTTCACTTTTCTTATGAATAGATGAATTGTTCTCATTTTAGCTGTGCTAACTCTTTTGATCATTATCATGTACTTACCAAACACTCAAAAAAATAAATAAATAAATAAAATATTGATAGTTAGATGTAATAATACTCTTTTGTGGTGTGGGGACGTATTTTGTGAATGACAACATTTGACTAAGGTGACGCCGAAGTGTCAGCTGAGGTGTCACGTGGTTTGGTCATGCGCCGACATGATCTCGGCTAGGCAAAGGTTGTCTACGGAGATACCGGAATCTGAGATAAGCAAATAAGGGACAAGAGTCCTGGAACAGAGGAGGATCTCAGTCTGGATAAAGATAAAACTCAAGAAGAATTTATTTCTATCTAGATGAGGGTCCAGGATGAGCATTAAGCCTAAGTCCATTGAAGTGAGGCTTTTAATAGGATCAGGTCACTATTGGTTATAAAAGTAAGGCACCCTCATGGGTCTGAGGTAAGTCCTTTCTTGTGAGTTTAAGCACTATTTGCTATCTATGAGAGATATTGTTTACTGGCTTGATCGTCGGAGCACCCTCAGGTGGACGAGCCACTGTCGAATTCTTATCTTCTTGTTATCTTTTTGTTACAGGTTTGAAAAATCTAGAAATCCCCTATATATTGATTTGTGATTATATATCAATTTTTAGCAGTAAATAATAATCCTAATCAAACAATCAAGACAAATCAACACAACGATTTTAACGTGAAAAAACCATAATTGGAGCGCCTCTAATTGTGACGAAAAAACCATGGGCAAAAGTCACAAAACAATCCACTAAGAAGACAAAAGGAATTACACAAGTGTACTCTCAATTACCTAGCGAATCCACACCCGAATCAAACCAACCCCTATATGCCTCTTCCAACCCCGTCTTCATCTTGGAATTGTCTTGCCCAACGTTGAATCCACAACATCGATGTCGAATCCAAGACGATGAGCCACTCTAGAATCCACTAAAGCTTCAGGCTCAAATTTCACAGAATCCACCGAAGAACAACTATTTCTTTTGTATTGAATGAAACAAACAATCTTTTGATGTATACTTCTCAAACCATGAGTTAAACTCAAACAAACATCAAAGAAAACTAGCAAAGAAGCTCTAGATATAAACCCTAATATCCAAGAAAAAGATTTGGAAGCCGTAACCCTAAAAATGGATGAAACCACATATTTATAGAAAACTGATCCGCGATCTCTGCTCGAGCGCAAGAATGGCCGCTCGAGCGAGCCTCACTTGAGCGCAGGAAAGTTCGCTCAAGCGTAAAATCCCAACTTCTAGTACTTTTGCAGACAGGTCAAATTTCTAGAACCAAACATTCTCTGCTCGAGCGCACAAATGACCGTTCGAGCAGATAAACAACTTCGACTGCAAATTTGCTTCTGGCTCAATCTCTGACATAATCAGCGAAGTGGCAAACATGAAAGAATTAACTTCTAAAACATCTCTACAAGGCACAATTCGGGTTGGATTTGCATCTAAAAACTCATAGCCTCATTGAAATAAAAGTTGAACAAAATTACAACCAAAGGGAATTTTGTCAAACGAAATTGCCAAGAATAAAAACCTAACAAGGTTGTTGGGCTTAATCTATTATGCCGATGCTCTCCAGCTAAGTTTTCCCTTTTAGTTGTGTGGTCGGAAATCAACACCCACGATCTGGCGCTTTCTGTGGGAACTTAGAGAGAATAGATGGTTAACGATGAACAAGAAGAAAAGATTGGGGATGACATTAGCAGTGAGAGTTGTGAACATGTAGATCCTAACGTCGGGAAAGAAAACCGTAATGAAGGAGCACAGATCTGAATCCTGGAGAGAAGCACGTCGGCAAAGAGATGAATGCCCCAAAGAAAGCAGGCCGAAACAAGTATTACAATGAAAGCGACCTCCAGGTATGGAAGGATAGATGCCTAAGGAGGGACGAGAAGATGAAAGGAATGGCAAACAAGTTGGTAGATCTACAATCGGTTGTCAACTTCATAATGCAGAACAACGTGATACAACCATCGTTCCTGTTGTAGGACACGCCGGTACCAACGGCCAAGACTGACGCCCAGAAAGAAGGGCAGAAAACAATCCAAGCAGTCCCACAGCATGGCAAGGAAAAGGAGCACTCACATCGGCCTTCACGGGATGTCGGGCGAGCAGAGTCAATGAGAGTAAAGTCACAGAGGACACCCCGAACCAAGGGGACCTATGCCAAAGAACCTCAGCATATCCAAGGGAAGAGACTTTTCTTTAATATAGTGAATGAAAAGAAGTCCAAGAGGATTCACAATGATGCTGGAGCAGCGTGCCAAAAAGGCTAAAATCTGTTGATGACCGAGCTCCCGGTCGAACGAAGGAGGATCTGAAGGACTACCTCTAGAGGAAGCAACTCCACGCCGAGGTAACATCCCTTGTCAAGCCGAGAACGCCATTCTCAGTAGAGTTGGATAGATTTGAGGCCCCAAAGAGATTCCATATGCCGAGGTTCTAGATTTATGACAGTAAGTCTGATTCGAATTTTCACGTTGGCTTATATTTAAACTCAATGGCTTTGTATAACAGGAATGAGCAGTTGCTATGCAAAATGTTTCCTTCATCCTTTGGGGAAATCGCATTAGATTGGTTCCATAAGTTGCCGAAAGGAACTGTGAAGTGTTGGAAAGGCCTGGCCGAGATGTTTATGGCCAGGTTTGTAACAAATAAGTTACACTCACTAAGGTAGACTCCCTGCTGGCTTTGAACATTAGCGAAGGTGAAAGCCTCAAGGCTTATGCCAAATGGTATTATGAGGTGTTTAACCAAATACCAGCATTCAACCAAGAGTTAGCAGTCGTATCTTTCAAAAATGGCCAGGAGGATAAATGCCCACTTCGAAAGTCATTTGCAAAAACTCTACCAAAGAGTATGGAGGAGCTTATAGCAATAATTGAGAAATATGCTAGAGCAGGAAGACACACATAGAACAAAGGTACCAAAGCAGTAGAAGAGAAACAACTCGTTAAAGCGAGGCCGAGGTAACATTGGTTTTAATAGG